CTGGGATTTTATTTCTGGAAGTTGTTAAACAGAGCACAGTCCGAGGATGTGATAGTTCAAATCAAGATTGCTAACTCATCAGGTGTGGAATCACAGATGATATCATGCTGTGCTGTACAGTGCATGTCAAAGGTTCTCTTTTCATAGAATTGAGAATCAGGTAAGTTATATTAAATGGTGTCCAGTTATGGTCATATTACAAATTGGACTTAGAGGCACTGGAGAAGGTGCAAAATAGATTTGTAGGAATTCTACCAGAATTGAGAAGCTGTACATGGGCTAGAAATGAAGCTTAGGGTTAATGTAAAGACTCTACTACAGGGGTTTTGATAGTGCCTACATAGGGAAGGACATGACATAAGAAGTAGGCTATTTGGTCCCTCAAGCCTGCCCTGCCATTTATTAAGATCATGGCTGATCTACCCAAGGCCTCAACTCCCTGATATTTCAGAACATCTACCTCAGTCCTCTTTAAATACTTTCAATGATTAAGGTTTTTGAGAAGATTTGTGGCTTGGGTTGTCGACTTTCTGCGCTAACGTTTCGTCACCATACTAGGTAACATCATCAGTGCACCTCCGGTAAAATGTCGGTGTTCTGTCCCACTTGTTATTTCCGTGTGTCTCGGTTTGCTGGGGTGGGTGGCATCACTTCTGGATTTGTTTCTTAGTTGTTGGTATATGGACAACATAGCCATCCTAGGACAAGCCAACCAAAGACACGCACGAGAATTCCTTGAGGCCTGGCACTCAAACCAGAACTCCACTAACAAACATGTCGAGTTGAATCCTATACACCAAACACTAAGAAACAAATCTGGAAGTGATGCCACCCACCCCAACAAACAGAGACACATAAATAACAAGCGAGACAGAACAGTGACACTTCACCAGAGGTGCACTAATGATGTTACCTAGCAGGGTGACAAAACATCTCCAAGTAAAACTTACCAGCTCAGTGAGCAAGTCAACAACCAATTTTAATGATCTATCCTCCACAAATCTCTAGGATAGAGAATTCCAGACATTCACCACACTCAGAGTACAGCAGGTGTTTCCTCTTGTGGGGGCAACAAGAAATGGGAATCATGAAAATAAGATGATCACTAATAGTCCAAGTCCGTAGAATCTTTTTCAGCCACAGCCTGATGAAAGTGTGAAGTTCACTGCCATGTGGAGTACTCAAGGCAAACAGCAGAGGGTCATTGAAGGAGATTCTAGGTAAGTACATGTAAGGGATGCTGATTGGGTGAGTTAACGGAAAAAGGTGGCAGGAAGTTGATGGCAAACATAAACATTGTCATTGATCACACGGCCAGTTCTTGTCCTGCAAACTCAGTGGAACAAAAACAAATTTCAAAGTAGCTGTACCCCAGTTCGCAGGTGAAGTTTAGGGTGCAGGGGAGGGAAGGTGAGATGCAATTGATTAACGAATTATTTTAACTTCATATGACTTCAAAATGCAACTCCATCTCCAGCACGTGATCTGTGGCGTTTGCTGCGGACAAGTTCAGAGCCAGCCATTGGATGTAAAGCTGTTCCTCAAGTCCTCTCTCTCTGCCTCAGTCAACGGTAGCAGGGGTGAACGACAAAGTCCCCCATAATATCCAAACCATCCCATCACCTCCTTGAGGGCTGCAATGCCATACTTTTGTGTAATCTGCAACAGATAAAAATACTTTGCCCATTATAACTGAAAAGATGCTCCTTAACAAAATGCAAACTGAACTACATAGATTGTTTCTTTAAGTATATCAGAAATACCCTGAATATATGGCAGGGCCAGCATTTATTACCGATCCCTAATTACTTCTGACCACCTCCTCGAGCCACTGCAGCCTGTGGTGAAGTGTTGTCACAGTGCTAGGAGGAAGGGATTCTAGGACTTTTGACCCAGCAACCATGGTCAAAGTTTCGTTCCAAGTCAGGCTGATGTGTGCCCTGTTGGGAAGGTTGCAGGAGGTGTCCTTGACCTTTTCAATGGTAGAGATTACAAGTTTGGAAGTTACTGTGGAAGGAGTCTGGTGGGTTGTTGCAGTGAATCTTGTAGACTGCAGGCTGCCCTGCACTCCCACCCCCAAACAACCCAAAGACAGACTGGTTACTGTGGCCAACCATGATGAGATGCTTTCAACTTGAGACACTGTCCGCATTAACAGGCTGCGTAGGGCTGGAAGACCTTCTGTTGGCCTCTCATCAGCAAGAACACAACCCCACCCATTGCTTGGCCTTCCATTCAAAAATTTCTTCTGTGCATATTACTCCAGTTGGAACCAGGAGGTTATCCTGAAATCAGGGTCTCAAAATGAAGTGAGAATCCAGCCCCTGGTTTTAAAAATGGAGCAAAAGGAAAGCTGAAGTTATACTTACCGCTGTGTTTGGCTCGATCAGCCTGTATTGAAGTTCTCGAGCTTCTCCCCACTGCCCTCCAAGGCACAGCTTTTCCAGATTGCACAAAGGCTCTCCGAGGACATTGGCAAGTGCGCACACACCACCCACAGCCCCTGAACAGTCATAGAAAACATTAAATTTAGTTAGCAAAGAATAAACTTGCATTTTTATGGCAACATTCACATCCTCATAACAACTGTGGCTACCTAGAACAACGAACACTACAGCACAGGAACAGGCCCTTCGGCTCTCTAAGCCTGTGCCGACACATTTTGCTCTTCCATACTAAAACTGTCTTCACTCACAGGATCTGTGTCCCTCTATTCCCTTCCTGTTCATGTAATCATCCAGGTGCGCCTTGAATGCTACTACTGTCCCTGCTTCCACCACCTCCTCTGGCAGCTCGTCTCAGGCACTCACCATCTTTTGTGTTAAAAACGTGCCTCGCACATCACTTTTAAACTTCCCCTCTCACAGCTTGAGTCTGTGCCCCCAAGTAATTGACCCCTCCAACCTAGAAAAAGGCCTCATTCTTTTCACTCTATCCATGCCATTCACAATCTTATAAAATTCTATCAGGTCGCCCCCTCAACCTCCTGCGTTCCAGTGAAAACAAACCCAGTCTATCCAACCTTTCTTCATCGCTAACATCCCCCATACCAGAAAATATCCTGGAAAACCTTTCCTGTACCCGCTCCAAACCGTCCATTTCCTTCTGCTAGTTCGGCGACCAGAACTGTACACAATATTCCAAGTGTGGCCTAACTAAAGTACTATAAAGCTGCAGCATAATTTGTCTATCCTGAGACTCAATGCCCCTTTCAATGAAGGCACGCATGCCACAGGCCTCTTTTTACTGCTTTATCTGCCTGCGCTGCCACCTTCAATGATCTATGGACCTGCATACACAAATCCCTCTGCATATCAGTACTCCTAAGAGGTCTGCCGTTCACTGTATAATTTCCACCTGTACTTGACCTTCCAAAGTGCATCACCTCACATTCGTCCAGATTAAACACCATCAGTCATTTTTCTGCCCCATGCCTCCAACTGATCTATATCCTGCTGTATCCTCTGACAATCCTCCTTGCTATCCACATCTCCACCAATCTTTGTATCGTCCGCAAACTTACTAATTAGACCAGCTGCATTTTCCTCCATTTACGTAGATCACGAACAGCAGAGGTCCCAGCACTGATCCCTGAGGAACACCACTGGTCATAGGCCTCCATTCTGAAAAGCATCCTTCCACCACTACCCTGTGTCTCTTTCACTAAGACAGTTCTGAATCCATCTTGCCAGCTCACCATTGATACCATGTGGCTTCACCTTTTGTACCAGTCTGCCATGAGAAAACTGTCAAAGGCTTTACTGAAGTCTGTATAGACAACATCAACTGCTTTTCCCTCATCAATCATCTTCATCACCTCCTCAAAAAACTCGATCAAGCTAGTGAGGTATGATCGCCCCTGCACAAAACCATGCTGTTTATCGCTAATCAGTCCACTTCCTTCTAAATGCTTATATATATTGTCCCCGAGAATCTTTTCCAATAATTTCCCTACCACTGATGTGAGGCTCACAGGCCTGTAATTTCCTGGATTATCCCTGCTACCTTTCTTAAACCATGGGACTACATTGGCTATTCTCCAGGCCTCTGGGATCTCACCTGTGGCCAAACAGCATACAAAGCTGTCCATCAATGCTCCAGCGATTTATTCTCTTGCCTCCCTCAATATTCTGGGTTAGATCCCATCAGGACCTGGGCACTTATCTACCTTAATACTTTTTAAGCCGCATAACACTTCTTCCTTTTTAATAGCAACTTGGGTTGGAGATTCGACACTCCCTTCCCTGGGATCATCCTCCACCAATTCCTTCTCTTTGGTGAATACCGATAGAAAGTATTCGTTTAAAACCTCACCTACTTCTGGCTCCACACCTACATTGCCACATTTGTCCTTGAGTGGGCCAACCCTTTCCCTGGCCATGCTCTTGCCTTTTATATATGTACAAAAAGTCTTGGGATTCTCCTTAATCCTGTTTGCGAACAACTTTTCACGGCCCCTTTAAGCCCTTCTAATTCCTTGCTACCTCTCTACCTTCAAAGTCTGATTGACGTTACCATTGATGAAATCACCACTATCAACATCCTGGAGGTTACAATTGATCACTGAATTGGACCAGCCATATAAATACTGTGGCTATGCGATCAGGTCAGAGACTGGGAATTCTGCAGCAAACCCTGAATCCCAAAGCCTGTCCGCCAGATACAATGCAAAAGTTAGAAGTATTATGGAAATGAGGTAGATTGATTCTTGTTGAGCAAGGGAGAGAAAGATCATTGCATGCAGATGGGAATGTGCAGCAATTAGATCAGCCACACGAGGAGATATTAGGTCAGGTGATGTGTAGGTTTCGTGGACCATCTTAAAACTGGAAAGTTATCGGAGGTTTATGGTAGGAATTCTAGGGCTCAGTGTCAACAGTGGACCAATTATAACCAGGGTTGCAGACAAGGTCAGAATTGAAGGATAACTGGCGCAGAGTCAATGGACAGAAAGGCCTTTCACTGGGCTGTAGACTTCTATGACTGTGACTACAGTTGCAGCCATCTCAGATTGTTCGAGGTTCCAGAGTTAGGGAGGGGTGAGATCACAGAATGAGTGTCAACGAGGATGTGTACGTCTGCATGTCTGTGTCTGTGCCTTAGCATAACTCCAGCAATACAGTTCCTACTCCAAAAGGACATTCTGGAAATGTTAAGTTGGGTGACAGAATTAGTCTTTCCTCCTCTCTTCCTCTGGAATAACCTTCCCTTCACATGAAACCTCCTTGAATCCACCCTTCACGTTGCTGAACTTTTGATATCTTGTCAGGATAGAGGAGATTGGCTCTCTAATAAAAGGAAAATTGAACAGCAACTGCAGCATGACAAGTGTATCAATCCAGTCAATTTGTTGATTCCCTGAGCTTTTCCATCCCCACCCTGTGCCAATCAGTGAGAGACAAGCCCGGCAGAAGGGTCAGGATCAGAGCCAGTTACTCCAGTGTACGAAAAGCAGAATTCCATTCCAGTGCTCCCAGACTTTAGCTACTCCCTCACCTTTAGTCCATCAGGTGGTGAACAGACAGTAGCTGCTCCCACAGCTCAAACCCGCAGCATCATCCACCCCCATCCACCCTTCAGGTACTTTTTCACTGAGAAGAAGAACAGAACTTCCTGGAGAAACTCAGCAGGTCTGGCAACACCTATAGGGAGAGAATACAGTTAATGTTTCAAGTCCGGTGACTGTTCATCAGAATTGCGAAAGCTGCTATCAGTTCTGAAGAGGAATTTAGGGCTCGAAACAGTAACCTTGTTTTCTCTCCACAGATGCTTCCCGACCCAAGGGGTTCCTCCAGCAATTTCTGTTTTCATCTCAAGTTTCCAGCCTCTGCAGTTCTTTGTTTTATTTTACATTTTTCACTCAGTGTTAGTTAGAAAATGTTTTTGCAATAAATGAAAATGATCCAATCACTCCCTAAAAGAGTCAGTACTGGCACAATGGGCCAAATGGCCTCCTTTTATGTTATGATCATACTCTCCATCTGTGTGAACAGACCACCCCCAGTTCCCTTTCTCCATTATGGATGGTCTCTTACCTATTGAATAAGCAGAAAGCAGGAATCCAGCTGATCCAGCCAGCACCTGGAAATTCCAGTTCCTGGTTTTGTGAACAATCAGTGCGATTCTTGTGATCTGGGGAAGATGAACTGAAGCATTAAATAGCATCTATTGCCAGCTGGCCACTGAGTTATTTGATTTGATTCGAATTATTACTGTCAAATGTACTCAGGTACAGTGAAAAGTGTTGTGTTACATGTTTTACAGGCAGATCGTACTATACAAGTGCATCAGGGTAACAGAACAGACTGCAGGATACAGTTTTACAGCTACTGAGAAGGTGCAGAGAAAGATCAACATTAACCCTGAAGAGGTCCATTCAGAGATCTCATAACAGCGGGGAAGAAGCTGGTCTTGAATCGGTTTGTACGAGTATACAAACTTTATGTCTTCTGCCAGATGGAAGAGGGTAGAAGACAGTAAAACTAGGGTGGGAGGGGTCTTTGATGATGTTGGATGCCTTCCCGAGGCAATGGGAAGTATAGATGGAGTCCATGGATGGAAGGCTGGATTGCCTGATGGACTGGGCTGTGTTCACAACTGTCTGTACAAGTAGTTCTCCTATAACACGATAGTTGCGTTTTTGTGTGACTTCGCATTATAGGGAAATTGCTACAGAAAGTCGCTGTACTTGTACAGCAGAAAGTTAATGTTATCCAAACAGTGTTCACTACTCATCAATCACGTTACAGCCAATTCATGTTAACGAAACATGCATTAGAGCAGAGCGACCTGTAATTTCTATCGGTCTTAGGAACAGCAGTTGCTAAACCACGCTGTGATGTGATGCATCCAGATAGCTTTCTGTGGTTATAGATTGGACAGGACTTTAAACAGGACACATAACAAACAGAGTGTATTTACAAACAGCCTCTACAAACTACAGCCAACACCATTCAGAGCCGACACCGTGACAACTTGTCCTGATAAAATCAGGGATAGTAGGAACTGCAGATACTGGAGAATCCGAGACAACAAGGTGCAGGGCTGGATGAACACAGCAGGCCAAGCAGCATCATAGGAGCAGAAAGGCTGATGTTTCGGGCCTAGAACCTTCATCAGAAACGGGGGAGGGGAAGGGTGTTCTGAAATAAATAGGGAGAGAGTGGGAGGCGGATAGAAGATGGATAGAGGAGAGGATAGGTGGAGAGGAAACAAACAGGTCGAAGAGGCGGGGATGGAGCCAGTAAAGATGAGTGTAGGTGGGGAGTTAGGGAGGGGATAGGTCAGTCCAGGGAGGACAGACAGGTCAAGGGGGCGGGATGAGGTTAGTCGGTAGGAGATGGGGGTGCGGCTTGAGATGGGAAGAGGGGATAGGTGGGAGGAAGAACAGGTTAGGGAGGCGGGGACGAGCTGGACTGGTTTTGGGATGCGGTAGGGGGAGGGGAGATTTTGAAGCTTGTGAAATCCACATTGATACCATTGGGCTGCAGGGTTCCCAAGCGGAATATGAGTTGCTGTTCCTGCAACCTCTCCAACCTCTCCCCTGCAGAACGTGCAGCCCTCCGCTCCCTCCGTTCCAATCCCAACCTCACCATAAAACCTGCGGACAAGGGAGGCGCAGTTGTAGTATGGCGCACTGACCTCTACATCGCCGAGGCCAGACGCCAACAACTCTCCGACACCTCCTCCTACCGCCCCCTTGATCATGACCCCACCCCTGAGCACCAAGCCATCATCTCCCAAACCATCCACAACCTCATCACCTCAGGTGACCTCCCACCCACGGCCTCCAACCTCATCATTCCCCAACCCCGCACTGCCCACTTCTATCTCCTTCCCAAAATCCACAAACCTGACTGCCCTGGTCGACCCATTGTCTCCACCTGCTCCTGCCCCACCGAACTGATCTCCAACTATCTGGACTCCATTTTCTCCCCCTTGGTCCAGGAACTCCCTACCTATGTCCGTGACACCACCCACGCCCTCCACCTCCTCCAGAACTTCCAATTCCCCGGTCCCCAACAC